TTATTTTCTCTCTCTCTATTTCTATGTCTTTCTCTTTCTCTCTCTTTTCCTCTCTTTCTCTCTTTCTCTCCTCTAAAGAATTCAGATTTCCAAGTTACCAGGCAAAGGGACAAGATATGCATGATTCTTGAAAAGTGTGTGTTTTTAAGTCAGCAGAAGCAGGTAAGAGTTGCACAATAACAACAAGGCTAAACAGTGATGCAACTCAGTCCAGGGTTGAAAATAAGATCTTGAGATTTCGTAGTTGTTATAAAATGGAGGGTTGATGATGATGATAATAAATGATAGTAATGATGATAACCATCATCAGTCAATCATCAGTTAATTATGATCATTAATACCTTTGTTATTACAAGGGTAGATGTTGATTATATTGTAATTACTTGCATTCTAGTTCTATATAAAGTACCTCTACTGTAACTAAAACAGTCACAATTACCAAAGATATTACAACTATACTACCATTTCAGTATTTGTTATTCTTAATGATAGGATGTTTCTCCTTTGGCATTTGGGTAGAAACAAGGGTAGTGTCAGAGTCCAGCGTATATTGCAAACCATGAAATGGTCAAATTCACGAGAGTAATTAAAGAAAAGTGTACTCAATGTACTTTTACGACTTTTCTTTTAGGAAAAACAGTATTGGAATAAACGCAGACATTGAGTAACTCAAGAACTCTAACACTGCTTGAGATTACAAGGTTACTGAGCTGCAGAGAGAACTGTTTCAAATTGATTAACCTTTTAATTTTGTTCCTCACAATTTTTTTTTCAGAACAGGCCACATCCGAGACCCTTGCTTCCGAAGACTGGGGGCTGAACTTGGAGGTGTGCGACTTGATTAATGAATCCGAGGAGGGCCCCAGGGATGCTGTCAAGGCAATCAGGAAGCGTCTCACGAGCCAGCCCAAGAACTATAGTGTGGTCATGTACACTCTGACAGTTAGTATGCACCGAGTTGTTGATTTGTAACAGTGGTGCAGTGTGTTTGAAAAATGCGAGATGTGTATTTGATATTGTGAAGTAGTGTAAGGTAAAAGGAGGGGAACTCATGTTGATATTATTCATTTCAAGTAGAAAAGAGTTTTTCTATATGTTTCTGGTTCATTATTAGAATTTAAGCCTCAATAGTATTTCTATTTTGTTATTACTGATTATATAGTTTAGTTTTTGGAGGAAGCAAAAGGTTAAATAGAAATTCAAATGTAGATTAGTCATTGAATTGTTATTGGTTTGAAAGTGTTTCATTTTGTATTTATGTTGATTTACAGGTACTAGAGACTTGTGTCAAGAATTGTGACAAGCGTTTCCATGTCCTTGTCTGTAGCAAAGATTTTGTACAAGAACTGGTTAAACTTATAGGTAAGTTTGTTCCATGCTGTAAGTAAAAAAATTTATTATTAGTATATATAGACCTCAGAAGATTCTTGCACGTTTCCATCAGAAACTTAAAATAGAATATAATGCCAGTTCAATGAGGTTTTTTGTATCCAAGAAATTAGTGTTCATGGCACAGGTGTCAAATATGTGGCCTGAGTCATATTTGCTGTTTGTCTTATAATCGGCCATTTTAGATCGTTAACTAACCAGTCCTCTGTCTTTTAAGACTATCACTTACACTCTTACTGTTTTTTTAATTACTTTTGTTCTATTACTGTGTTTTTGCATTGAATGACATAGCCTTCTATGCTTTCACATCTACCATATGGCAATATTTTCATGTCGACTCATGATTATCACACCCGTATACAAAATACTATGGTGATATGTGGCCCCCTGGGGTAAATGAGTTTGACAGCCCTGGTTTATGGTTATGATTGGTATTAGAATGTTATCATGGAACCTGTTATTGTTATTTATGTTTTACTCAAATACGTATTTAGAAACATTTTGTAGAGATTTAGAAAATGATGCTTGTATTTAGACCTGTTTTCTTAAGAAGTCTTGTATTGATTTAGTTGTTGAAAAAAAAGAATTAATGTTATATGTTTTTTTCTATTTAGATATTGTAAAAGAAAAAATCATCTTAAAATATTTTAGCTGGGATGAATTTCCTGGTTATTTGCTGATTTCAAAATTGAATTAACTAGCTTACACTTTTGATAGTACAAGTACTAAATTTAGAAATGGAAAATAGATGAAAGAGTTTGTGATAGAAAGGGGAAATTCAGTAGATACTTCAACCACCTCAGGTCCCAAGAACGAGCCACCACCGGCAGTACAAGAGAAAGTCTTGTCACTTATCCAGTCCTGGGCTGATGCTTTCCGTCACCAGCCTGAGCTTGCGGGAGTTAGTCAGGTGAGAAATATTCTCGTGCAAAAGATTTTGGTGAAATTTTGTTTCTTTTTGATTTATGTAGACTGGTTGTGTTACATTGTTTCTAATTTTTGTTCAACTGTAATGTAATGAATGGTTAACTAGATATGCTCCAGCAGAGGGGTTTTTGTTTTTATATTATATTTATTTATGGATATTATTCTGTATATGCTTTTATTGATTGTTATTCAGATTTTTTTTTTTTTTTTTTTTTTTTTTTTTTTCAGTATTACAGGTGATTATAAGTATATAGCTTTGTTAAAGGTTAAAGTAAATTGAGTTAATCAAGTAAACGACAAGTTCCTCAGCTAGTCCATGTTCCCTATAGACCCGATAATGCTCAGATTTTCAGAGTTCATTAATGGTAAGTATGTTCTTAGGAGTTTAGAGAAGTTGTCTTCTCACACAAGTAAAAGATTCTCATGTGATGAGATGCCAAGCAGCATATAAAAGGTTATGAACCTCTCATATTGATACTGGTGGGCAAAAGTGATACACTTTTAACCCACTAACAGTGGTATATTTTGAAGCTGAAAATCTGGAATCTGTCCAAACGCCGGCCGCGGACCATGACATATTTGGAGCATGAGCTCTGATCCCATGTCAAACTGGTGGGACGCCCAGTAATGTTTATTTTTCCGGGTATCTCATACGTGGGACACCCATCATAAATGGGTTAAGAAGACTGATCACATGAATTGAATAGAACATGATATGAGACGTGGTGCCTGTGATACCCGCAGCCTCCAGCCCTAGCGAGGGCGCAGCCGTGCAGAGGGAGAGTGGTCAGCAGGTTAGCTACTGGTGAACGGATGAGTGAGAGGTCAAGTTGAGTTGTCCTTATATCTGACCCTGGCAGGCACAAGCGGTGGCTGTCCACGTGGGGCGTATATTTAGAATCGCTCCATGAGGAGTCACAAGCCTCATAGTGAACACATGCAAATCAGCATGGTCTGTGAGACTGCATGATCATGGAGTATGCTATATCCCACATGGGATGTATATTTAGAATTGCGCCATGAGGGGTCACAATCCTCATGGCAAACACATGCAAACCAGCGTGGTCTGTGAGATAGCTAACAAGTGGTCTGTGAGATTGCATGATTATGCAGTGTGCTGTTCAGAAAAGCAACAAAGTTTAGGAGTATTTAGTAGGCAAAGGGTGGACGAGGAAGGTGCGAAGGAAACCATGGATAGGCAATGAGGTAAGGGAGGGGAAAACAATTTCTTTAGCTTGTGCTGGGAGGAAGAGAGGCATAAGAGGTAGGAAGATGAGGCAGGTGGGTGGGGTTGGGTTGGGAGGGGGAGAGTGGAGTAGGGTGGATGGGCAGAGTAATCCTGCCAAATGCTAATAAAGAGGCCTGAATAGGACTAACTAAAGGATTAAGATAATCCACAAACAATAAAGAAGTATTTGCAAATATACTGGTAGTAAAGTTGAATATCTTTGCAGGTGTATGCTGACCTGAAGCACAAAGGTGTGGAGTTCCCCATGACCAATCTTGACACCATGGCACCCATCCTGACTCCACAGCGGGTATGTTGTTTTTTGCTTTTTTCCTTTGTGCTTTGAATAAAAAAAATGATCTATTAATTTTTGTTATTTCTGTTCCTCCTTTTCCTTTTCTAATGCCTCTTCTTTTCTTTGTCCACCTAAAAATCAGAAAATGTAGAATGTGCTGAGTGTGTCATTTTCTGGTTATTTGTTATTGTGACTGTTGTTGTATGTATTACTTTCTATTTTTTCTTTAGACGGTAGCAGCTCCAGAACCTCGTCCTCCTCGTGTGCCCACTGGGAGTACCCACTTCCCCTCGACGTCAAGCAGCTCACCAGCCTCCACCTCCTCAAGCTGCACCTGTCACCCTAACAGCAGAACAACGAGCCAAGCTGCACAGCGAACTAGATGTCGTGGAGTCAAATGCAAAAGTTTTAGCTGAGATGTTGTCTGAACTTTCACCAGGCAAGGAGCACCAGGATGATGCTCAGCTGCTGCAGGTGAATTTAAAGGATTGATAGACACAAATAATTTGTTATAGAATACTCTGTTTCATTATAATTGTTCTTAAAAGTTGAACTTGTATTAGTGAACAGTTGACATTTATATTTTTGTTGAGATGAATCATTACACTCTATTCTTAATTCACTTGTTTTGTATTCTGAAGGAATTACATGCAACCTGCCGAGCAATGCAGCAACGTGTGGTAGAACTTGTTGTCGTCGTGTGAATGATGACCTTCTCACAGCTGACTTACTGCGTATAAATGACAACCTTAATAATCTTTTCCTAAGGTTTGAGACTTGTATTTGTATCTACAAAAATATCAGTTGTTGTGAGAGTTCTTACTAAATTATTTTTGAATTAATATTTTATGCAATATTTTTATTGAGTTAAATTTTTTTAACGGAATATAGATAGATACATTCATTAGTTATAATTAGTTTAATATGTCTAACTATGTAAGGAAAACAACAATTGTTAGTAGTTTCCAAATGCTGTTGGTTTCCTTTTGAAACTATAAGGATGATTTTCTGTGGATCAATCAGTTATCTGTGCAATTGTAGATTTTTGTTGTTACAGTAGTATTAAATGAAATTTAATATTTTCATACAGTATTGTATTCTTCCTGAGTATTGCTAAAAAAAAAATTCTTCCTTTCCTTTTCTTTTCCTTGTTTTTTGTGTCCTCTGTCTATCTTCTCATTCTTTTATCATCTGTCCTTTCTATCTTTCCTATACATACTCGCTTTTGATACCTGCCTTTGCCAAGAGAAGTTTGCATTATTTATTCATTAATCAAGTAAACTCACAATCTCTTACTCATTAATATTCGTCTTTGCAACTCTGCTGAATTCACACAGATATGACCGTCACATGAGCAAGGTGAAGGGCATTAGCAGTCCCACGAGATCCCCCCAGCAGGTCCCCCCTACGCAGCAGCCCCCCAGATTCCACCCCCGCAGCGAGCTCCACAAGCGGAGGTGTCCTTGATTGATCTGGCTGACGAACCTCCCTCGGCCCAGCTAGCCGGTCTTAGTAAGTTTCCTTTTTGTTCCCTCATCTTCTCTTCTTTTTCCGCTGCCACTGCCACTAACACTACTATCTCCTCCTCCTCTTCTTCTTCTTCCTCTTTTTCTTCCTCTTGCTCATCTATCTCTTCCTCCTCTTCCTCCCCCTCCTCTTCTTCCTCCTCTTCCTCCTTTTCCTGCTCTTCCTCCTCTTCCTCTTCCTCCCCTTCCTCCTCCTCTTCCTTCTCCTTTATCTCATTCTCCTTTTCATTTTCCTCCTCTTCCTCCTCCTCATCCTGTTCCTCCTCTCTCCTCCACCCTCTTATTTTTATTTTTATGCTTATTTTTTGTCTTAGATTGTTTCTTTTGATTATTGTTATTATAATTGTTATCATTTTCTTAGACTTATAAATAAGAAAAAAGAATGCTTTATTATAATTAACATGCAGGGATAAACATTTTTATTGTTTTTTGTAGAAAGGAAAATGTCTATATGTTGTAATGTGAGATTGTTTTTATGTTAAAAAATTAAAAGAAAGGTAGCACTACTCTGTAAAATCATATTTGGTAGCTGCTTCTGCTTCTTCTTCTTCTTCTTCTTCTTTTTCTTCTTCTTCTTCTTCTTCTTCCTCCTCCTCCTCCTCCTCCTCCTCTCCTCCTCCTCCTCCTCCTCCTCCTCCTCTCTCCTCCTCCTCCTCCTCCTCTCCTCCTCCTCCTCCTCCTCCTCCTCCTCCTCCTCCTCCCTTTTTGCCATCATTTTTAATGAACCTTTTTCAAAGAAAATATATAAAGACAACATTTTGCATAACTTATTGCACATATTTACAGAAGTGAAAAAGGGGGAAAGCCAAATGACATGACATTTAGGCAGGGAGGGTATGGTGTCAGGTACCAGAGTAGAAAAGAATTATTTATGCAATTTAATCAATGTTTTATAATTACCAGAAGTAAAAAAATATCAGTATTTTCTGAATTATAGCAAGCTGACCCATATAAATAAGCATGAGCATACTCTAGGAAAAAGTCAATTTTGCTTTTGCTTTTTGCAGAGGTGCTTCCAATCTTTTTAAGTACCTTGAGTACTTAAAAAAAGATAGAATGATCCCTTTTGACCTGTTGAAAAAGATCATGGGTGCAGGATCCTGAGGTGTCTAGTCTTGTTTATAGCCTCTTTTTATGTATTGCAACTTGGAATAAACTTAATTTTTAACATTAGTAAGAAAGCATTTAGTAGGAAGACATGTTGATAAGTTAATTTTTGATAGGAAGATGTATAGGCTGTTGTTACTTTTAATTTATCCTGGCTACACATCATCATATTAGTCTGATCTTTGTTATTACCTAAGTGTTCTAGGATCAAGTCTGGGCACTCTTCTGCAGTATGCTGGAAAAGTCGTTGCAGGCAGTGATGGTCAAGGAAGATTTCAATTTTGCCACTTGCTTATCTTCAGAGGGATAGAGGATGAAATATGGTGGGATTTTCATTTTTTTGTGTTTAAAATTCAGATTGTAGGATATAAAATACTTGTGCTTCCTCTCCTTTCAGCTGTTGGAAGCTCTCCTAAAGTGAAGAAAAATGAAGATGCAGACTTTGATATGTTTGCACAGTCACGAACTGCAACTTATGAAAATGCAAAAGTCAGGTAACTTTTTTTCCTATTCTTTTTTTACATCTAAGTTGTATTAGTAATAAAGTTTATTATTATTCAAGACTGTTCTGTTTGAGAATTGTTATTGACTACTGAAAATATATTTTGTTGGTAATAGAATGAAATATGAAATGTAAATCAAGATTTAGTCCTTGCTATTTATTATTTGTTATAAAGTTTTTTAAATTCAAGCAATTACCACCTTTATTTACAGAATGAAAGAGCTTTTACATTTTTTTAAGTTGTAATGACATAGCAAAGGCTCTATGATTTTAAATCAATAGAATGATTCTTGTGATTAAGAGGATGAAGAAGAGAACATTTTTGAACGTGGGAAAGATGGCAAAATCTATACACAACGGTGTTAATTATGTATGGGTAACTCTTGTTGTAATTCACACAGCGGCAGCAGCTACCAGGATAATGCTGATGTGGACGTAAGTGGTGCCTCACTTGCCCGCACAGCACAGCTTAGACACAATCCGGTAAGTGCCTGTTTTACAGAAACAAGCATGCCTCATAATTGCTACAGTGTGCTGTTGTGTCATGATGCTCGTAGTACTATGAAGAATCTCACTGCCAGGAAACACATGATAACACATGATGTTACTCAACATTTGATTTTATTAACAAGAAAATATGTGTTGGCAAGTGAGGTTCAGTTAGCACTATGTTTTAGTTTTTATGTAGTGCTTTTCTGTGTTGTATTTTTTTTTTATTTTTTTTCTTTATCAGTCCATATTAGTTGATTTTCTGTTGAGTTACTTGGCAATAGTTTTATTTTGAATGTGAGAGGTATACATCAAGGAATTGTTAGACAAGAAAGAAAGAAAAAAAAAGATAGAAACAACTTAATATATGGTTAGTACATACACAAACAAAAAAATCTGGAGGAGAGATCATGTTTAAGAATTTTGAAAGGATGATATTTTACTTAATAATGTCTTGCCATGGTAGATATATTAGTTGTTAGATATGTACAATACAGGTGTTTAACACTATGAAGAGAGAGAGAGTTCCTTGATGTATAGCCTTTATATTTATGAAATATCTGTTTTGTTTTGTGCTAAGCAGTTTTGTTTCATGTGATGCAACCATAATCCAGATGTTTAATGTACTTCCTCTGGTTTGCAGTTGTTATTTTGGATGGATTATTGTGCACCATTTATATTTTATATTACACACCCAGTTTAATAATGAGTTTGGGTTCTTGTTAAGGTAATACTAGGCATGTTTAAGTTGACTTAAGAATTATCACCATCAAAAACAGGGGTAATAAGTTCCTCCCCTTCCCCTTCCCTGATCTCCCCCATATTCCGTGACTTATTTGTTTTCTTTGTTTTTTTTTCTTCGTCTTTTTTTATTATTGTTTCCCGACACTGTGGCTGAGCAGCAGGAGCTGTGGGTAAGAATGACCGTGAAATATGTGTGCCTCACTAACATTTTCCATTGCACATTTTCTTGTCCTGGTTCATGATTTAGAAAAATTATTTTGGTTTTTATCTTTATAATTTTTCTTTTTTGATAATTTTTTTTTTCTACTTAGATGTGTTGGATCATGTAGAATCTTTCTGGCTGAGTATTTACTGATTTATGATTACTAATTCTGTTGAGACTTGCATCTTGCCAGGACAGGAAGAAATGCAATAAATGTTGGTTATAAATCACATGAGGTTGGCATAAGAAAGTGTCACAGAAATGCAACGTCTGTTTCAAGGTTAAAAAGTGATTTTGCAGTGAATGGGATACATTAACAAAGAAATTTATCTAGTGTTCCATATATTATATACTAGGGTATTGCAAAAGGGAAACCTTCCCTACAGATAGCTAAAGTTATTTGTGGAATAGGACTTGCATAGAGTAAGAAAATTTGGAATAAACGGAAGACTTGCCACAAAAGGTAAAGTAGTTGAAAGGTTGATATTTCAAGGACAAATCCAATAGAAAGTCAGCTGATTGATTTTGTTTCTTCTTCTGTGCCAGGAAAAGATTTGTTTAAGGTGATGACAATTTCTATAATGCTAAAGATTATAGAAATTGTTTAGGGAGATAAAGCAAGCACAAGAAAATGTAAAACTTTAGAAGGTGGGATAATTTATAGTTTGTTTTTTGTGCTGTTATATAAGCTCACTAAATATGGTAGAGAAAATAAGGGGACTGAAAGAAGAGAGAATCAGGAGAGAAAAGTAAATAAATGGACAAAGGTCAGTCTTTGCAAGATAGCTATGATTTAAATGATACCTCGAAAATGATAACATACTTTCCCTTCATTTTGGACGTGTAAAGACAGTATAACACTTATTGAGCTTGTTTTACTGTTTTCCAGTAGTCAGGTGTTAAATGTATCCTTTCACTTTAAGTCATTTTTAAGTAAAGTATGATATTCTTTCTTTGATTGAATTTGCATTATTTTTTATTGCTGTGTCTTAATTTGAAAGAAGATATTGCTGATTATGCCTGCCAGTGATACCTTGTTTAGCATGATCACAAAGCTTTTTTGTGTATGCTATATGACTTTGAAGCACTGCTTTTCTCTTACTAGAAATGTTTATAGTAATTTTCTTATTCTCAACTTTGTGTGAGTACGTATCCATATTCAGTATTGTACTTATATTTGTGTTCGTACACTTGTGTGCGCACACATATGCACCCACACACACACTCTCACACTCACACACACACACTCACACTCACACTCACACTCACATTCACATTCACATTCACATTCAATTTACACTCACTCTCGCTCACTCACACACACTCACGCACACACACATGCGTACACCCACACACGCGTACACCCACACACGCACACACGTACACCCACACACGCGTACACCCACACTCGCGTACATCCCTACACGCGTACACCCACACGCGTACACCCACACACACATACACACACACGCGTACACCCACACACACGTACACCCACACACACGAACACCCACACACGTACACCCCCCCCTCACACACACATACACACGCACACATACACACAGACATGCACATACACAATCACACATGCACATACACAATCACACATGCACATACGCAATCACACATGCACATACGCAATCACACATGCACATACGCAATCACACATGCACATACGCAATCACACATGCACATACGCAATCACACATGCACACACGCAATCACACATGCACACACACACGCACACACTCACACGCACACACTCACACGCACACACATACACACACACACACATACACACACACACATACACACACACACACAACACCACACACACACACACACAACACACACACACCACACACACACACACACACACACACACACACACACACACACACACACATTTATGTATGGATGGAGTAAAACTTTCTTTGCAGGTAAAAGATGTAACCCTTTTTATTGTCAGCCAGATGTAATAGGCTTATTTAATCATATTGCTGACATACTAAACAGTTTTGTTATCAAGATGCATGACTTTGATAAGGTATATGATGTACTGTTAACAGTCATATATGTAGTTTGGTACTAGTTATATTTTTGATAGTTTTTTTTTTTTTTTAGATGTAAGAAGATAACATAGATTTAGAGATAGATTAATATATTGTTGTCTTAGGTTTATGATGGAACTTAGAGAAAGTAATTGATTTAGGTTATATTGACATAAGAGCATGGTATCTTGATTTGTAACATGTAGAAATTATGATTAGTTGTACTGTACAGTATTTTTATTGGATCATTGTTATTAGAACAATATTTTAAAGTATTGGGTCATCCTATCCTTTGTTCAGTTAGTTTGATTCTTTCTTATTTTGTTTTCATATCTGATTTCTCTTGGTATCAATTTGCATAATATTAATTTGATTTGCTGTTTTGATTTTCTTGTATTCCTTAGATATTTTAAAGTTTGAGGAAACAGTCTTTAATAATTTATTTTTCATTAAACTTTTATCCAAGTATATATTATGATTATTCCACATGATTGTTGAATGTGTAACTAAACCAGAGTTGGGGGATAGGAAGGAAGTGACATCTCGCCAGATATCAGAATAGTGATATAAACATTTTTGTTTTTGTCTTTTTTCTATGTTTTTGATGTATCAGGGATAAAAAAAAAAAGGTTTTGATGTTTAAAGAAGGTAGAGGTGTCATCTTCCCTCCTCCCTCACCTCTCTTCTCTCCTCTCGTCTCTTCTCTTCACTTGTTTCCTCTCCTCTTGCCCTCTCTCTCTTCACCTCTCCTCTTGTTTCTTGACCCCTCCCCTCCTCTCACCTCATTTCCCTTTTTCTCCTTTTCTTTCACCTTTTCCCTTTCTCTCTTCTTATTTCTTTATTTGTCTCTCTCTCCCTTCCTCTTTTCTCCCTCTCCTCTTCTCTCTTTCTCCCTTCTCTTTTCATTCTTCACTTTCTCTATCCTTCTCTTCCCATTTTTATTTTGTTTTGTATAGATTATATAGAAACTGTAGTTTATTTATATTGATTGAGTGATTAATGGATCCCCCCCCCCTATTTTGAAAGTGTTATCTAGTACCCATATTTTTGTTGTAGTTGCAGGGTCCATAGTCTGGTCAGTCAGTATTGTTGTCAACAAATACGATTGGAAACAATGTATTGACATCATTATGATAGGCTTGAGGGTGTAAGGATATAATGTGTCTTAGGTTTTTTATTAGCATGAGCAAGAGAGGAATAGGCTCTAGGAATTCAGAATTTCATGTGATCAATTAATGATTTAATATATGTGAATGAATTATGCTGGTGTGCCTTGAACACGTTTCTTTTGCATTTCGCTGTTGCACGTCACAGCTTTCAAATGTTGCACAGATCTTTGCTCTCCTGTTTTATACACCCACTTTTGCATTTCATATATTTAGAGATTTTATTCAGTACTTTCTTGTTGACTCTATTTGTGTGTATTGTTATACATACTGGTATTACAGAAATTTTGATGGTAGTTATATAGATACACACATATCCTCTGTGTGTGTGTGTGTGTGTGTGTGTGTGTGTGTGTGTGTGTGTGTGTGTGTGTGTGTGTGTGTGTGTGAGTGTGTGTGTGTGTGTGTGTGTGTGTGTGTGTGTGTGTGAGTGTGTGTGTGTGTGTGTTGTGTGTGTGTGTGTGTGTGTGTGTGTGTGTGTGTGTGTGTGTGTGGTGTGTGTGTGTGTGTGTGTGTGTGTGTGTGTGTGAGTGTGTGTGTGAGTGTGAGTGTGAGTGTGAGTGTGAGTGTGTGTGAGAGTGTGTGTGTGAGTGTGTGTGAGAGAGAGAGAGAGAGAGAGAGAGAGAGAGAGAGAGAGAGAGAGAGAGAGAGAGAGAGAGAGAGAGAGAGAGAGAGAGAGAGAGAGAGAGAGAGAGAGAGAGGGGGGGGGGAGGGAGAGAGAGAGATGCATTTTGTGATGAATGGTAAATAAAACTTGATGATATGATCAGATTTGAAAAAGTTTAGTCATCAGATTTCATTTAGAACTTTTAGTTATTACAGTAGCATTAATATTGGTTTGAATCATCCAAAATTTTCAGTCAGAAATATATTTATTCACTATAGGGAATCATACAAACAATAATTTCTTTTTATTTATGGATGCCTGAGGGGATTACATGGCTTATTACTCAATACTCGAAATGCGTAGAGTGATGGAAAAAGTCCCTAGTTGTATATTTTGTAGACAGACAAGCAAATGATATAGCATTTGATGTTGATTTGCAAGTTTGTTTTTTTAGAGACAGGCTTAACTGGGCCTTAGTGGAGCTCCCATCAAATTGGATGTAAACCAGGGCCAATTCAATCTTACTGAGCCAATCCTGAACCTAGATTTTCCCTCCTGTATTGTATCCTTCTCTCTCCTGTTTTCTCACCCCCCCCCTTTTCTCAGATTTTCTTTCCTTTATTCTGTACTTGCCTTTCCTTTTATTTCTGTTTTTCCTTTCTTCTCCTGTCCTCTGCTCGTATCCTTCCTCTCTTCATTTCTTATGTTTTCTTGTCCTCCCTTTTCCTATGCCCTTATACCCTATTTCATTTCCCCCTTACCCCTTCTCCCCCTTATCCCTGCCTCTCTGTTTTATTGACTAAGTATAACAGAACACAGTTTTCCTACCTGTAGCTGGATGTCTTCAATTTTTCCAGATTAATGCAGTTCTCCTTAACACAAAAATAGTTAAGAAGCTCTATGCTGTTTTCTGAAACTTAGCTAATGTGATGTTTTTGTGGATGTATGTTTTCCAGCAACAGAAAGACAGTGACTTTGACGCGATAGAAGCCTGGCTAAATGAAAATGTAAGTAGATTTCAATGTGCAAGGAGCAAGGTGTTAATACAGCTTGTGTTAGGTGTAGTTTGACCATTAATAGGTATCTGGAGTAGTGTTATTATCCTTTTTCATGAAAGTTTTGTTCAACTATTGTTTCACCTCAGAAAAAAAAATGGAAAACTGGATATGTAATGCTATGGTATTATGTATGCAGTGTGAAATTTCCAGTCGATGTTCGATTTTGTTTACAGTATGAATTTATTTTATAAAGAAAATGGATTAATCATGCATGATTATTCATAAATTTCTTGCAACATAGGAAATAATATCATACTGTAAGATGGCATACCCTTTGTCATTGTAGCTTTTATGAACTTTAAGATACATTTACTTTGTACAGCCTGGTGAGGGACAAGCTGGTGCTGGACCAAGACAGGAGCCCATATCGTCATCAGAATTTGATCGCTTCCTTGCTGAGCGAGCAGCTGCTGCTGATGCTTTGCCGACCATCACTGCGGCCACGGCTCCTCAGGTCAGCGGCAACGAACAATGGCCCGCGACGACAAGGATAACCAGATGTTTGCCCTTTAGTGTTAAAAGATTTATTCTCGGAGGAAGGTTGTCTTACTGGAGAATTGATCTCTTTGATGAATAATGTCAGTCTGTGTGTGTGTGTGTGTATGTAATATATTAATGTTAATCATTGCAAGGTAATTTCAGTGTTGCGGTCACTGGAGAATGATATATATACAGGACTTTGATTCACTGGTATGCCTTGTATAGCATATTACCAAATTCAGTTATTTTCTCTTATATAAGATTTTAATGCCATGACTTGTACAATAGTGTGTGCAACAGGATTTTTACCTATCCTGGGTAATGTAATTTTCATGTGGTACATTTGTCATATTAGATGGACTGGGATAATTGAGATGGTTATACTATCCCTAAATATTTATGATAGTCAATCATAGTTATTTATTTTTTATAGATGACTTAATATGATTGCCCAAAATGTTGCCAGAATTGTACTTACCAAAATTGTACCAAAGTTTGTTCTGTCAGTAAAAACTTAGCCACCCTGAAATATTGAATCAGGAGGATAGGCAATACTTAATAACTTAATAACACTGTTTAATCAAATACTCAATTTTAATTTTATCACCCAGTTGTGCATTTCTCTCTCTCTCTCTCTCTCTCTCTCTCTCTCTCTCTCTCTCTCTCTCTCTCTCTCTCTCTCTCTCTCTCTCTCTCTCTCTCTCTCTCTCTCTCTCTCTCTCTTTCTCTCTTTCTCTTTCTCCTCTCTTTCTTCTTTCTCTTTCTCTTTCTCTCCTTTCTTCTTTCTCTCTCACACACACACACACACACACACACACACAACACACACACACACACACACAAACACACCACACACACCACACACACACACACACACACACACACACACACACACACACACACATATATACATATTTACATACATATATATGTCCACAAACACAAATGTATATATATATATATATATATATATATATATATATATATATATATATATATAATACATATACATATATATACATATATAACATATATATATATATATATATTACATATATATATATATATATATATATATATATATATATATAATATATATATATATATATATATATATATATATATATATATATATATATATATATATATATATATATATATATATTTTGATGTATGTATATAAATACACATATGAACAAATTCTGATTTGTGTGATATCCATTAATGCA